TGTGTGTGTGTGTGTGTGTGTGTGTGTGTGTGTGTGTGTGTGTGTGTGTGTGTGTGTGTTTGCTGGGTGCAACTCTTGCCTTTCTTTGGCGCCCTGCCTCCCAGGCTCCTTTTGCCGTCACATCAGGCACAGTGGTAGAGGGACTAGTTCCTAATGGAGAAGTAAGCCCATAACTGTGAAAACATACCCTGGCCTGGGTCTGCCTGGAAGCTGGAAACAATCAGGGAGCTTTGGCAATTTCCTGCGAAATGTGTATCGGGATACCCTCAGAATGAAGGTGGTGGTGGCATCAGCGCTCAGAAAACATCAAATCTATGCTAGCCATTTAATGAGGACATTTCGAAAATACCCAAGTTCAGTAAAGAAATATTGTATGTTTTCCCTAGGCTTGGAGTGTATCAGAGAAAACTGGCCTCATCAGCCGAATATAGGGCATTGTTAACAGAAGGAGGAGGATCTGAATGGAAGTCCAGAAAGTGGGGAGCTGAAAAACAAGAACTGAACTCAGAGCTCGAGCCCCCCTGAGGGCAAGGGGGGTAATTTGTGTTTCTCATTGTAAACTAGTTAATTGGCATACTGGATTATACATCTGACTCTTGTGAGTTTGGGTGAGCTGAGAAAACTGACTCGCAAATCCAGGGCATTACCACCACTTTTCTCATTCATTTAGCAGACAGGGTTTCCAGGTCCTTGGTGTTAAATGGAGATATCCCCTATTTTAGCCTTGTGGCCAATAATGTGCATATTACAGTTGACCTTTAAACAATAGGAGTTTGAACTGGTTCCAAGGGTCCACTTGTACTCGGCATTTTTTTTCAATAGTCGGCCCTTGGTATCCCAGGATATTGCATCCCTGGGTCCAACCAACTATAATTGAAAACAGTATTTTCAATCTGGTTGGGAATCTGCAAATGCAGCGGGCCAACTGTATACATTGTTTTAATTCATTTTATATAAGGGACTGGAGTATCTGTGGATTTTAATAGGGGATAGGCAGGGTCCTGGAACCAGTCCCCTGTGGATACCCAGGGATAACTGAAGTTTTGGGGTGTCAAAAGTTATTAGTGGGGGCCGGCCAAGTGGCTCAGTTGGTTAAGAGCTCGCTCAAGAGTGCGAGCTCTGAGCAACAGTGGTTTGAGTCCCGACCTGAGCTGAGCTGCCAACAGGTGGCAGGACGGCTCAGCCAAAAAAAAAAAAAAAAAAAAAAGACAAGCGGGTTTTCAACTGTATGGGGGTTGGCACCCCTAACACCTGCATTGTTCAAGGGTAAACTATAAATGTACGACATGAAAAATGCTTTTATATAATTTCAAATTTGCTTTATATAAAATTGAAGCTGGATACCAATTCAGCAGTGGCCAGGAACACTTCAGCTTTGGGTTTCTCCTTCCGTATTGAGTGATTAATAAACAATTACTCAGATTTTATTTAAAGAGACATTGCGATCCATATGAAATAGTTATTTTATAATGTGAATAATGTCACCCTCTAATTTTCCTGGGGCAAGACATTTTGATACTGTTAGAATGTAGCTGTAAGAATTTTAAAGGCCAGAGGAGGCTCCATGAGGGTAGATCTCTATGGCAAGGTTTTTTTTTCCCACCACCAGTAATCACACTTCTGCCTCTACCCCCAGTCAGTGTTTTTTAGGAGAGCGTTAAATAACCCTGTCTACAAATAATTACTGAGGGCATAGGAAATACTGGGATGAAAAAAGAAACCATCCTTGCCCATGGACTGTATAGTCCAGTGAGAGACTTCTTAATAAACAGTTATTCATTTACAACCCTGATAGATACCAGACAAGAAAAAGTAAAATACTGTAAGCAGAATGAACAGTGCCAGCTGTTACAGTGAAGAAGGGGGAAGGTGCTTCAGGGATTTCCTGAAAATGTGACATTTACACTAGGATTTAAAAGATAAATGAGAGTTAGCTAGGTGAAAAGTGAGGGGAAAATGTTCTAAGCCTTAAGACGAGGAAAACAAAAACTTGCCTAGACTGAGGACTGGAACTGAGGAAATGGATTCCAAACAACTGGGGAATTGGGATTGAATCACAGGCTAGGAACCTGTGTTCTGAATGGAACCATCTACCAGCTCAAGCTGACCTGCTGAAAAGCCCTGGACTGAAAAGCCAGTTTGGAAAGCTTGATGTAAAGAGAGCAAAGCTCAGAACTTTGAAAAACTTATCCTGACCTTCAAAGATGGCGAGAAAGACAGTGAACTCAAAGGATTTGCAGGGTACTATGCCTGTATTTCTTGTCCCGGAATGCCTTCAGAAGCTTGCTTCAGATCCCACTGCTGCCACCAAATATGTTAAAGAACAAAAATTCAACCAAGTAAATGTGAAGATATAATGGGCTTTATTGAATGACTCATGAATTGGGCAGCATCCTGTTTAGTAAATAGAGAGGTGCTCCAAGGAGCTGTACAAAATGGAAGGCTTTTATAGACAGGAAGATGGGACAAGGAAGTTATTAGCAAAAGAGAAGAAAGGATTGTTTAAGGTAGGTCACCTACCTTTGGGGAAAGGATGACCGTCTTATTAGGCAGATTGCCTCATTAGTGTTGATCAGGAAATTCCAGACTGATTGTTTTAAGGTCACATTCCTGGGAGGGGCTGAAGCTGCAAGTAAATCTTGGTCTGCTCTTCTGGGGGCAAGTGACCCCACCTTGGGCCTGCTGCCTTTTCTTTATCATATTTTCTGTTTCCCACATAGACAAACTCTTAGCTTATTCCCTTATTTTGGTGGAGCATCTCCTCCTTATGCTTTCTCAGAAAGTGTGCTTGAGAGGTAAATATTTTGGGAGCTGAATTCCTTTGCATTTGACCTATTTATCCCTCTGGAACCTTTGGGGGGTCTTTGTCTCAATGTTCTGGTGTGTGTATGTTTTTAACTATTGTGCTGAATACTCAAGCGTTTTAATCTGGAAACTTGTATCCTTCATTTCTGGGAATAAAAAATACATTTTTTTTCTTGGATGATTCCCTTCCTTGCATTTCCTCTGTCACTAGTCTTAGCAGAACTCTTAATATTCTGATTTGGGATTTCCTTGCCTAGCACTCTGTAATTTTCTTAGGTTTCTCTCCTAGCTTCCATGTTTGTCTTTTTGCTTTAGTTTTTGGGAGTTTTCCTCATATTTTTCTTCTATTGACTTTCTTTTTTGTTCTCTGAATAGTTCTTTTTTAAAAAAAAGATTTTATTGGGGAATTGGGGAAGGAGAACAACCAAGTTGTTGTCCTTCAATCTTAGTTGTGGAGGGTGCAGCTAGCTCAGCTCCAAGTCCAGTTGCCATCTGGCCTCCCGTCGGCAGCTCGCAGCCACTCAGCTCAAGGTGCCCTGTATAATCTTAGTTGCGGGTGGGTGTAGCCCACCATTCCATGTGGGAGGCGAACTGACAACCTTGTTGTTAGGAGCACGTGCTCTCACCAGCTGAGCCATCCTGCCACCTATTGGCAGCTCAGCAGCAGCTCAGCTCCGGCACAGCTTACTGGTCCATGTGGGAATCGAACCAGCAACCCTGTTGCTCAGAGCTTGCGCTCTTAACCAACTGAGCCACTCTGGCTGGCACCTGAATATTTCTTTTTTTAATTAGCACCCTGATCTTGTTTCTTTGTTGCTAATCCTCCTATCCTTCTGAAGATATTTTTGATAATTATTTTAATGTTTTTGCCTTCCTGTGTGGGCTGTTTCTTCTAAGTTACCATTTCCTATTCCTTTTGTGTGTGTCTTGTTTTGATCTCGTGTTAAAGGATCTTCTCAACTGTGGTGATCATATTTAAAGTGTGGAGACTAAGAAGGTGATTGGGAGCTCAGAGCATATAAATGAGCCTTGTTTTGTGTGTGTGAGTTAAATTGTTGAAACAGAGTGAAATGCTTGGCCTCTCTGACTCCATCTTGTTCAAGGCTGCTTTGTTCCCATTCCCTTCAGGCTAATAGCTTCTGCTTAGGCTTGCATACAGACGTGCTAATCATTAGAGGAATTCTGCTTGTGTCTAAGGGTTTCACAAAAACAGTCCCTTACCAGAAGGTGCCTCTCCAGAGGAGAAAAGGGATGTAAAAAAAAAAAAAAAAGATTGTTTATCAAAGATATGCAGGAACCTCATGACTGGACTCACATCAACTAGCACAATCTTCCTTGGACCCCCGCTGGTGCTCAGATGTCTGCAGTGGTCAATCACCTCTTGCCTATCCCATTTCCCCTTCCCTTGACGTAAAAGAAACCTGAACTCTGTACTTTCTTAAAATGGACTTGAGGTACCACTATATCTCCTATTTTCTCGTTTGGTGCCTTCTCAATTAATAAACCTTTCCTTACTCCAAACTCTGACGTTTTGCATTTTGGCCTTTTGAAGCGTCAGGCTCACAGACTTTGGACCAGTAGCCCTTTCAGACAAATCTTTCATAGAAACAGCAATGTATCAAGTGGGTCATCATTAGTAGGAAAAAATTAAAAAATGTAGGTTTGTACATGTTGCTCTATTTCCATTCGGGAGCTGGCTTTCCCCACATCAGGCTCAGCAGCTGCACTTACCCGATGCTCCTCTGCAGATGCAGCCCTGGACACATCTGGCACAACATATGGGGCAGCAGGGGCAGCAGCTCTTCTTGCAGGAGTTGCATTTGTACTCTGCATTTGCAGGAGCCAGTGCAGGTGCAAGAACCACCAGTGAAGCAGAAGCAGCTGGGGTTCATTTCGAGCTGAGTGAGGCCAGAAGTCCAAAGCAAGTGGTGAAGTACTTGGGGTAGTGGAAGGTGTGTTCTGGGGATCGTTGATTGTGAGCTTAATCTTGGGGTGATCTGGCTGGTCTGTCTTATTGGGAAACCCTGATTTCAGTATCTCCAGATCTTTTGTTCACAAGACCCAAACAAGATTTTTCTCATCTCCTGCCTAGAGGTTGAAGACCAGGCAGCCAGTGTTCTGGGAACTGAGTAGAGAAACTGGACTGGGGTTGTGGGAGAAACTTTTATCATTTGGTATGTACATATTTGCTTAATCTTCCTTTTGTTTTACTCCAGAAGGGAAAATTTACAGTCTTTCCTAGAAGGGGGGGTGGTCAGAAGTCCAGTTACTCAAGTGGGGGAGGGGACCTAACTGCTTCTTAAACAGTTTTAATCAGTCCTTCTAATCACAGGACCCCTTTCTTCCCCTTCACTGCCACTTCCGGAGGTGCCTGCGGTTATCAGGTCCTACAACGTTTGGTGATTCTATGGTGGCAATAAAGTTGCCTTTGAGCTTTCCCCAATTCTGGTTTTCTAAGTCATCTAGTACCTGCCCTTTTTTTTTTTTGATGCCTTCCAAAACGTTGCTGTAGCATCCTCTCCCATTCTCATCCTTATAGACTTACACTTAAAAAACCAAATGAACCCATTTGGGTTTTCGACAATTTCAGGAGGAAGAAAATGAAGACGCATCTATTCAATCTGACATGTTTCCCCAGAAATTACTGTTTCTGTTCATTCCTACTGTCATCACTCTAATGTGAGCCACCATCATTGCTCAGCTGGTCCACCACAGCAGTCTGCCAACTGCTCGTCCTACCTCCAGGCTTGCTGTTCCCTTATCTCTTTTATTACATTGAAGTCAGAGAGGTCTTTGTACAGAGCAAATGTTATTTCTTCACCCTCCTTTGACATCCTTTTGTTCTTAACGTGTAAGATCCTACATCATCTGGCCTTGATCCACTTTTCACTGCATCTCCCAACTTTCTCCCAGTTGCTCACTGGGCTGCAGCCATACTCTAACCTATGTTTCTCTTTACACCCAAAGGTGGCATCTCAGGGTATCCCTACGTACTGTAACTATCTGAAATTGTTTCTTACACTTCCTCCAACTCCTCCTCCCCAAGCTTTTCCAATTAATTTCTAATTGTCTTTCAGGTATTAACTTTTTCTTCTTCAGGGAAGCCTTTTGTGTCACTAGATATGTTCTTTGCTGATGGTGTGATTGTTGGAAATATCTGCTATTGCTCCGCATACCTCCCTCCCCTGATGGTATCAATATTCCACATAACACTTTGGGAAATTCTACATTATAACTTCCATCACACGTTAGTTTATTATCATGTTTAGGTGTCTGTCTTTCTGACAGACAAGGCCATCTCCAAGAAGGAAGGGTCCTGTGTCTATTTTATATACCACAGTACCCCACTGTTTAGTATACTGCCTTGCCCACCCATAGTAATGGCCAAATTCGAGTACGGCTTCTAGCAGCTTAAGGCCATGTGCCTAGGATGACCTCTATCCCCCTTAAAATGCTTGCCTGAGAAAGCTCAACACTGCCAGAGTTCACTGTTTGTTCCAGCCAAAACCCGGTGATAGGCATATAGTCTCCTGAACCCCCTTTTTTTTTAAAAGATTTTTATTGGGGAGTTGGGGGATGGGAATAGCACTGGGGAATTGGGGGAAGGGGAACAGACAAGTTGCTGTCGTTTTGTTCTTCAGTCTAGTTGTGGAGGACGTCGCTTCACTGGCCCAAGTTGGCACCATCATTGCGCTCTTCCCGGGCGAGGCAGATCAGTCGCCGGCTTCTGGACGGCCGCTCACAGCGGCTGCTGACCGCTCACGCTGGCTGCTGGTTACACACGGTAGCCCATGGCAACCCACTGCCACAGGGGCTGCAGCATACGCTGTGGCTGGAGACTCACGGCAGCCCAGCTCCAGGTTGAGCTGTTGTTCAGCATCTTAGCTGTAGAGGGCAGTGTCACTGGCCCTCATATGTGGGATCCGAACCGGGGTCCTCTGGCGTCCCAAGCCAGTTCTTAACCAATGCGCCACTCGGCCGGCCCCTGAGCCCCTTTTTAAAGCAGTTACTTTAGAAAGCTTGCAATTATAAATCCTTTCTCTGCCCCTTTGAGATATACAGCTTCTGTCACCCAGAACTGTCTTCTCAAGGACCTGAGAGCTGTCTCCTCCCAGCCTGGTGGGTACCTTGCTCTAACAACTTGTCATAAAGATAAAAGCAGTTTGTTGCTCCTTAAGATAAGCGCCAGTTAACAAACTCAGGTGGCCTAGTCACATGGACCAACACTCCTTGGCACCCTTGAGTGCCTTTGCCTTAGCACACACAGTCTTTAAAAAGTTTCCAGCCTTTTGTTTAGTTTACCTTGTACCCTCTTCCTATTGCAATAGTTAATACTGAATAAAATCTATTCTTACTGTTTTAATTAGTATGACAGTAAGCACACTAGTTATTGAATTAAGTAATAAACCGGTTCTATATGGGTGTGAACAGCTGTGTGTGGGTGTGTGTGTGGGTCACAATTTCAAAGCTTCTTTTGTAGTCTCTTACATCTGCCTCTCCAGCTCTGCAAGGTGCTTATCTGTTAGTTTTTCTTTCATAATCTCTAGCTACATGAAAAATGACAGACCCACATTGTCCACAGTGCATTTTTAGACTGAACTAGTCAGATTATTGTAGACAGATATGGAGAGGTATTTAAAAAGCCACACCCCTAAATTTCAATTACCCGGTTTCTTTTAAAGAATTTTTTTTTCTCCTATGGCTTTAAAACTTAAAAAGTTTTACCATTTTTATTTCTGGGCTAACGACAAGCGTTCGATTCAGTCCAGAAAGGCATGTAGGTCTTAGAGTGGGTCAGTCTGGCTAGGCCTTGGCTGCAAATGACCCACACACGTCTGTCGGTGGGCAGCACTCCGCTACCTGCTCCTAAGGCTTCCGCCAGTCCTCCAAAATCTTCGCCAGTTAAAAGCTCCTGTCTGCACTTTTAGGAAGCCCAGAGTGCCCCCGCAATCTGTGACTTTCAGAGTCAACTCGTTCCTTGATTCGGAACCAGCAGAACTTCCTCTCCCACGTTCCTGCTCCAGCCTCCGCCCCCGGTCTTCACTTCCAGCGGTGCCAGGGCAGCGGCTGAGGGTGTCACGTGCTAGGGACTCGGGTGTGAAGCTGACGCCGCCATGTTGACTTCAGGCGGCGCCAGCAGGGGCAGGGGGAGGGCCGCTGACCAGCTGCCGGGAGTTCCGGCCCTTGTGCGCAAGTGCGGAAGTGTGCTGGCCGCTAGTGTGACTGGTTTCCGGCCGGTGGTGCCGCTCCGGCTGCCCGGAGACGTGTAACGGACGGTGGGCCGCAACCATGGCTGAGAGGAAACCAAATGGTGGCGGCGGTGCCGCCTCCGTCTCCTCTTCGGGCACTAATTTACTCTTTTCATCCTCTGCCACGGAGTTCAACTTCAACGTGCCCTTCATCCCAGTCACCCAAGCCGCCGCTGCCTCGGCCTCCTTGCTGCTGCCGGGAGGTAGTAAGGCGGCGGGAGGGGTGGGGGGTGGAGCGGGCTGGTGGGGCGAGTGTTTGCGGGGAGGCGGGCGGGGGGCGTGGGGTGACGAGGGTCGGACTGGAGGTTTTCCTTCTGCCTTGATCCGACCCTCTGGGTAGCTTGCTAGAGCTGTCGGTGGCCAAGTTTTGAGTGGCCTGGGTGCTTTGGGATCTTGGAGGCAGGGGCCAGCACAGAAGGCTTGCTCTTCGTCGAAGGACCCTTCTGTTCCGAGTGCGGGACACTGCTGCGCTGACGTTTCACACTTTTTTGTTGAACACTTGCTGGTGTGCCAGGTACTTGCAGTTAATGCAAATAAATTAGACAGCGCTCCCTCTCCTAAAATACGGTAGGATATCCCCTAGGATATGATGGGATCTCTCCTAGGAGAGACATGTAATATTTGCAAAGTAGAGGTACGTGATACAATTCTTCTCTTTCTAGACGGTGCATTATTTCGTCTAATAAACCTTGTTCTCTTAAGTTCCCACTCCTATGTGCACCATAGCTCCTTGTTCATATTTTTGTTATTGTAAGCTGATTTTTTTTTAACTTTATTGGGGAACAGTGTGTTTTTCCAGGACCCATCAGCTCCAAGTCGAGTCGTTGTTTTCAATCTAGCTGTGGAGGGCGCAGTCCACTGCCCCATGTGGGACTCGAACCAGCAACGTTGGTGACATGAGCCCACTCTAACCACCTGAGGCAACCGGCCACCCAAGACGATTGATTGCTTTTTAACGATTATGTGGCATAATCCAGAGCATGGTGTTTAGGAGCAAGGACTGTGTTTCAGCCCTGGCCTTGCCAGTAACTTGCTGTGTCACTTCAGGCATGCTATTTTACCTCTCTGTGCTCCAGTTTCCATATATGTGCAGCCTTATAGGGCTGTACTGAGAAGTGAATTAATTTTTGTAAAACACTAAGTATGGTGCCTTGCACATAGTGTTATATAAATGTTTGTGAAATAAACACATCTGCCTCTCTGTTTTGACTGTGGCCTTCTTGAGGTTTGCAGGTGTGACTTATGTACCTTTTTATCTCTAGGATCTCTAGTGTCTCGCACATAGATCCTCAGTAAATGCTGAATATTTTTACACTGAGTAATTTATTCTTGCTTGGAGGACTGAGGAAAGTTTCACGGAGAAGTGAAGAAGGGCAGACTGGAGGCTGTTGTACACGCAGATTTCCTTTCCCTTGTGTTATGTTTTTTGGTGTTTATCACCACCTGACATGTACGCATATTTGTTTATCTTATCCCTCTAGAATATAAGCTCCATGAGAGCAGGAACTTATACCTAGGACAGTGCCTGGTATGCTGTAGACCAGTTCAGTAGATAACTTGTTGAATGAAAGGATGGGAGTCAGGAATATGTATGTCTCATTTTGACAGTGGGGCCGTTTTTAGTGCAGGACTGACATGGCTGGAGCAGTGTTGTGGGAGGTTGCAGGAATACATAAGGCCTCACAGGCTTAGAGAACACATAAGGCTTTCCTGTCATCTTCTGCTTCACAAATGTTTGGTTCATGCCCATCTTCCTTGCTAGACAGCATTTGGTGTGTGTGAGCCACTATCAATCAGTGCTAAGCATTTTCATTGTTGGCGACAGGATAACTATACCCTCCTTGAACAAAAACTCTTGTTTCTTGGAGATAGCTTATTATTTATTTATTTTTTTAAGATTTTGTTGGGGAATCGGGGAAGGGGAACAGACAAGTTGCTGTCGTTTTGTTCTTCAGTCTAGTTGTGGAGGACGTTGCTTCACTGGCCCAAGTTGGTATTATCATTGCGTTCTTCCCTGGTGAGGCAGTCGCTTGCTGGCCATTGGACTGCTGCTCACGGCGTCTCGTGGCAGTTCTCGCCGGTCGCTCATGCTGGCTGCCAGCCACTCACGGTAGCTTATGGCAGCTCACTGCAGCCTACGCCGTCGCCAGCGACTCCCGGCAGCCCAGCTCCAGGTTGAGCTGTTGTTCACCATCTTAGCTGTAGAGGGCGCAGTGTCACTGGCCCTAATGTGGGATCTGAACCGGTGGCCCTGCTGCTCAGCCTGCGCTCCCAAGCCAACTCTTAACCAATGAGCCACTTGGCCGGCCCAGAGATAGCTCATTTTTAAATGAGAATATTAATAATGTTTAGAACTAAAATTCTGTTAAATTATTTTTCCACATCTAGTAAAGATCTGATAGTTAGAAACCCATTCAGAAAATTTCCAGAGACAACAGAAGAACCTGTCTCACGGGAAGCAACAGTCATTTCAGTGAAAGAGACATATAGGAAGCAATCTCATTCGCTCCCCAGACGTGGGTTGGGCAGCTTGTATTTGCCAGGCCCTGTTCCTGAAGAGCGGATAGCATTGCCGTCAGTGACTGCACAGTATACATATACACACTACTCAACTGCGCAAGCTGTGGTGAGGCAGGCTTATACTGGCTAGAGAGAGAGATTGACAGGCTGCTGTGAAAGCTGTGGGCTTCAGGCTGGCTGACCTGGCAGAGGACTTCGCTCTGGCCTTCAGGGCCTCTCAGAGAAGATGATTCTTGACTCCGTGTTGACACAGAAATTAGGGAGTCTCAGGAGACAGGCATATGTAAAAGTCTGAGGTGAGAAAACGAGCAGGTTTGGTGGTAGATGCTCACATTCCTCCTCCCTTCCCCCCGCTTTCTTCTCCCCTGCCTCAGTAGATCATTGTGACTAGAGTGTGTGCAGGGGAGTGGCTGGAGAGGTCAGTGGGGACCAGAACACCAGGGACCTCAGATAATATACTGAGAAGTTTGTAGTTATCCTATGGGGTGTGGGGAGCCTTTGAAGATTTTAAACAAGGCGGTGAAATTAGAGGTGTGTTTCGGAAAGACGGGTTTTCTGAGATTGCACTGGAGTAACCTTGACTGTGGCAGAGCTGTCAGTCTGGACGCCATTGTGAGTCAGGCAGGAGTGTATGCCACTCTAGCCCTAGTCAGCCACTTTGGGCGTGAAGAGCAGGGAACAAATGTGAGATTTTTTTTACTATAAAATTGTCGGGACTTAGTGTCTCACTGGCAGCCAGACTGTCTGCTCTGTCAGCACAGAGGCCCCCTGTCTTCATTCACTTTGAGCCCAAGACCTAGCTCTGTGCCTGGCATATAATGGATACTGTGTATATATATACCTTTTTTTTCTTTTTTTTTGTATTTTATTGTGTACATATTTCTTGAGTGAAGATCTGAATGATTAAATGAAGGGTATGAGAGGGAGGAGTCTGAGAAATGAGGCTTCTGATTTGAGGGGATGGACGGATGTAAACATCTGTTGAGACAGTGAGATGTGGTAAAAAGAGCACATGGAGGAGGACAGAGAAGATGATCAATCCCCTTCACTAAGTTTGCAGTATATGTGACGGAGCCTGCGAAAAGTATTGAGGAAGCCTTTGGAAAAGAGGCTCTGGCACTAGTGAGAACAGCCTTGGTTTGAGACAGAGTTGGGGTGTCACAAGCATACAGGTGGGTGTCTCGATGCCAAATGTGTCTACATGTGATTAGAAAGGGCCTCTGAAGTGAGGCTGGCATCATGTTGAGATCAGCATTTCATTTGTAATTGATGATAATCAGAAAAAAACAACTTGGATCAGGTTGATCCCCAGGTTGTCTTAAAGGATAAAAGATGCCAGAGGCTTTTTCCATGCTTTCATTTGTTGAGAGAAGACCTAAAAATACGAATGAGTCCAAGTGAGGTTTACATGATTGAAGAGAGGGTGCGAACTGGAAATAAATAAGAAAAGTAGAATGATACAAGCAGACAAAGGGCCTTGTGTAGGTGAGATTTTGTTTTTAGTTACAAAGAAACAACTTAGAGGAGTAGTTTGAATATAGTGGATTATTTTAGTTAAAATCATGAAATATAATGGGAGCAGACTCAAGCCAGAATCTCTGCAAGCCTATCGGCCACTTTCAGCTGGCTAAGATGGAGCCTAGAGCTTGAAAGAAGACTCCCTTTGGCAGGTCTCCAGGGCAGGGACCACAGTGTGCCTGTGTGCTGGGAACAGGTCCACCCCTCTGATCTGCTCCCCGCCTTCAGCGCTGGGAGATAAGAAGGAAAGAGACTGGAGAAGGAAAAGATTAGGAGCAGGAAAACGAAAGTTACAAGCTAAGCGCTCATGCAAGTTTAGCAAGGACCAGTAGACTGTGGACTTTTGAAGCCTTGGAGAGGGGAAGTGCTTTTATTTTACAACTTGGTAGCAGAAGAGAAGATAAATAGTTGGGTGCTGATAATACCCGCAATGAAGATCAAGTTGGACAAAGAGAAGTGGGGAGAGTTTCCCTTGGTTAGAAAAGGACTTTTCTTGTGATTTGGCATTCTTTAAAGACGAATTATCTGGTTGGGATGCTGTGTGATTTTAGGGATGGCGATTCACAGTTGACCTACTTTGCCTTGTGAATACAAATACCCCATGTTCATTTGTACAATGAGTGCTTTGTAGGTAACAGCCCTGATGCATCGCTTCTCAACAGAGTTAACACCTGCACTTTAGTTTCTTTTTGGTACTGTAGAAAAAAAATTATGTGTATTTGAGTAGGGAAATATTTGATTTTTTTTTAAACCAGGATCAAAGAACATTCAAAAGAAAATGTAAAAATAGTAGGTATAGATTATTTCTATTTTTAAAAACTTACATGCAAATATGTATAATTTATATATATTTACAAAAAGCACGTAACTATATTTAAAAATTATGGAAAGGTATGTATCAAAATATTAAGTGTTAACGGGTTGTCTCTGGGAGGTGGGCTTATGAATGAAGTATAATTTTTCCCTTTTGTTGTTTTTCATATTTTCTAGTTTTTCATTTCAAAGAAAAATTTTCAAAGAAAAAAAGTTTTTCGTTTTTTTCTGTAATGCAGATGTGTAAGTTTGAACAGCAAAATAAGAGGTACAGGGCTAGACCTCTGTACAGAATCCTAGCTACAGAGTGATAGCGTACCCTTTAAACCCTTTGCTCTCCTGTCCGTTTCAGAGGATTCCACGGATGTTGGTGAGGAGGACAGCTTCCTCGGTCAGACTTCTGCTCACACGTCCACCCCACAGACATTTAGTTATTTCTCTCAGGCATCAAGCAGTAGCGACCCTTTTGGGAACATTGGACAGTCACCGTTAACAACTGCAGCGACATCAGCTGGACAGTCAGCATTCTCCAAGTCTCCACCTGCTCCCCCTTTTACAACCGGATCCCAAGAGATTTCGAATGCATTTCCACCATCCATTTCGAAGGCTCAGTATGGTGCTCCACCTTCCTCACAGATAGGAATAAATGCTTACCTGCCTTCTCAGCCAAGCAGTCTCTCTCCTTCAAATTTCGGGAGTCCACCCCAACAAGGATGGAATCCCTACCGCCACACTCCTGTAAGCAGCAGAGCTAATCCGTATATTACACCACCACAGCTGCAGCAGTGCCAAACACCAGGCCAGCCTGCCCACCCCTCACCCTCTGCACCCCCTGTTCAGATGTACCAGATGCCTCCAGGATCTTTGCCACCTATGGTATGGAAACATGCTTTTATATCCTAACTGTTCACTTTAATTTTTAATCTCTCTCACTGAGCTTGTGTTTTTAAAAGCACTGTGCTTTTTTTATAATGAATATGATGACAGATTATTTTCAGAGGATATTTTTTGTGAGCTGTATGCTTTGGAGTAAACATTCTTTTTTTTTTAAAGATTTTTATTGGGGAATTGGGGGAAGGGGAACAGACAAGTTGCTGTCCTTTTGTTCTTCAGTCTAGTTGTGGAGGACGTTGCTTCACTGGCCCAAGTTGGCACCATCATTGCGCTCTTCCCGAGTGAGGCAGATCAGTCGCCGGCCTCTGGAGGGCCGCTCACAGCGGCTGCTGTCTGCTCACGCTGGCTGCTGGCTACACACAGTAGCCCATGGCAACCCACTGCAGCAATGGCTGCAGCCTACACCGTCGCCAGCGACCCAGGCAGCCCAGCTCCAGGTTGAGCTGTTGTTCAGCATCTTAGCTGTGGAGGGCAGTGTCACTGGCCCTCATATGTGGGATCCGAACCGGAGCCCTCTGGCATCCCAAGCCAGTTCTTAACCACCACACCACTCCGCTGGCCCTGGAGTAAACATTCTTTTAAATGTAGCTCATGGTTCACATTTTAGTTTATCTTATCTATTTACTGACATAGTAATTGATTTTAATGAGTTACTTATGCCAGTGTTTCCAGATTTTAGTGTAAGATAGCAATAATAAAGGTGATCTAAGGATGTGAGAGTTGAAGCAATTATTTACAGATTGCAGCTGCTAATTTTTTAATTATACTATTCAATCAAAACACTCACAGGGACTAAAATTGATTACTCCAGTAATGTAATTTCTTTTATTTACATTTATGGGGTTTGGATCTAGACAGTTAAAGTTGATCTCAGGAGAGTAATGAAATAACATTTGCATTGGGTAAATTTTAAGATATTCCTTTATGCTTTTTCCCCAACTAATCATTCAATTGACTTCCAAAGGAAAGCCAACTAAATCCAAAAAAGGGAAACGATTAAAAGAAAGAATTAAGAACCCAACCCAGAGTGGCAGAGAGAGCAGTATTATGATCACGAGTATAAGCTAACTTTACTCTTGGGGATGGAGAATGGGCTTCCTTTTATTTTATTTAAATCATACCAATACACAGAATTTTTTATTTAAAAAAATTTTTTTTTATTGGGGAACAGAGTGTTCTTCCAGGACTCATCAGCTCCAAGTCAAGTAGTTGTTTCAATCTAGTTGTGGAGGGCACAGCTCAGTGGCCCATCTGAGGATTGAACCGGCAACTTTGGTGTTATGAGCACTGCGCTCTAACCAACTGAGCTAACTGGCTGCCCCCACAGACTTGATAATGGGTCTGAAGCATTACAAAACTGTTCCTTTGAACAAGCATGACGTTCTTAACTTCTTTGTCACCTGCAGATTCCTCCTCCAGTGCAGTCAGGGTTGTCCTCTCCAACACAGCAGCAGGCACTTGCTCGACCTGTGGGTCCCTCTGTGCAGAGCCAACCTCCTTTTACACTTCAAAACCAATACGAACCTGTTCAGCCCCACTGGTTTTACTGCAAGGAGGTAGAATGCAAACAACTGTGGATCCCTTTCAGTGTGTTTGACTCTTTGAATCTTGAAGAAGTCTATAATTCAGGTAAGCACTGATCATGCATTATTTATATCTGATTTTTAGGAAGAGACGAGATGAAGAGTATTTATGCATGCCTTATTTTTTGTGAATGTCAGATTCCTTAACCCAGACTGTGTGCCTTAAGATAGTGATATTAACATGAGTCCCGAGTTATTTGAGCAAGGCACTTGAAGAAGTATTTTAGTAATTTTCTTCCTTGTTTGAAGGTATCTTAAATCAGAGAAATAGAGTAGTTCATGTAATCTTTATTTTCCTTTTTTTTCTGGGGTGTCAATTTTCTTGTTTCCATATTCATTTGTAGCTATAGGGCATTTATAAATCATTTTCTATGGAACCTTTATTCCTGAAGATGCTGTGAAAAAAGTGTTCCATTGTCAGGTGAGTTTTGGAAATCCTGTACCTGTACCCTTGAGATGGACAGTGCACGGGAGTGTGTTAAGGCTCTGAGAAGTTCTTGCAGTATGGAAATAGGTTTCTTTGTTTATCCTGATGATATTTCATCATGGGACTTAAAAATTACCTCTTAATACTCTTTAGAAATACACTTCACAGAGCACTGTTGCTTTGATTTTAAAAAAATCCACCAGTTATTTGAATATTTTTTATTATGTTTTAAAATTTTGTCCTGGCTGTTTCTTCTTCACTTAAGAATCATAATTTTGATCAGCACACATTAATCTTAAACTTCTATTTTTAAACAAAAATGAACTTAGTTCTTTGTCTTAAAGGATCAGCCAGTCACTGTATTCATTTATTACTGTTAAATATGCTTTGTAACTGTTGGGTTAAAATATGGACTTTGTGTTCCAGTCCAGCCAGACCCTGAGAGCGTGGTTCTAGGCACAGATGGAGGACGCTATGACGTTTACCTCTATGACCGAATGAGGAAAGCCGTGTACTGGGAAGAGGAGCCAGCTGAAGTGAGACGCTGTACTTGGTTTCACAAAGGGGACGCAGATAGCAGATTTACTCCGTATACAGAGGAGTTCAGTGAAAAGCTAGAGGTATGTAGGCTTTATTCCTTTATGCTTTTCTTTAAAAAAAACGTAGGCCTTGCGTACATTGGAACCTCATGTAACACCAGTCACAATACAGTAGGATTTATTACAAGACAGCCTACCTTGATCCTCTGCTTTTTAAGTGGTGCCATCAGTCATGAAGGCCTCAGTGTCTAAAGAAAGAATATTTCTCAGGGGCACATCCCAAATCTGATAAGGTACTTTTATCAAACCTTCAGAAGAACTTAGGCTGCTGAGATCTGTTGTTGACAACACATGCCAAGCATATGGATGCTTTTCAATATAATATTCAGTATTAAGGTTGAAATTATCCTCTAAGTTATGAAAACAAATGTAAAACAATAGGAGCAAATATCATGAGATTTATTAAAACTGGTGATTAATGTTTTATATACTTATGTTAAGTTCTTGAGATAATTTTACTTAAGTATTAAATATTTGAAATGAATTCAACAGCGTGAGATTTAGAACACTTCAGTTACTATTTTTTAATGTAGGTTGTTGTAGATATAATTATTTAAGATGAGATCATAGTGGAGTAGGGTGGGCCTCTGATCTGATATGCCTGGTGTCCTTACAGCCATAGGGAGAAGCGGTGTGAAAATAGAGGATTGGAGTGGTGCATCTGTAAGCCAGTGAACACTAAAGGTTGCCCTCAAACTAGCAGGAGTTAGGAAGAGGCCAGGAAGACGTTCCCTGTAGGTTTCAGAGGGAACATGGCCCTGCTGATATCTTGATTTCAGATTTTTGGCCTTCAGAACTGTAAGAAAATAAATTTCTGGGTTTTTTTAGCCACTCAATTTGTGGTACTTGATCATGGCAGCTCTGGGAAACTAACAGACTATCTAATTCTTGGTTTTTGCCTCTATGTAATGGGGATAATATTATTTAGGAATGATTGAGAGTAATTAATTAAATGAGGTAATATATGTAAAGTGATAAGTATGGTGACCAGTTAGTACAAGAGAGCTGCTGTTACTGTTTTTTTTTACCATGATAGTTATAATTTTCTTCCATACTTTTTCTTAATGTGATACAGATTTGTCATAATGGGTTATATGTTGTTTCCATTACTGTAGGCTGAATATAAAAAAGCTGTAACCACGAATCAGTGGCACCGCAGATTAGAGTTTCCAAGTGGAGAGACAATTGTTATGCACAATCCAAAGGTAATGATACTGTTTAAGATATAAAAGCATTTAGGTTCATTTAAATAATTATTTTGTTGCAACTTTTTTTTTTTTTTTAGATATTGATTAGTGGTATTTGCATTCTTTCATTTACCATCGTTAATCTCGCTGAGCTCCAGGTTCCTCACCTGCAGTGAGATTTACCTCCCAGGGCCATGTTTTAAATGAAGTGAGATAATTTATGCAAAAGCATCTAGCATAGTGCCCGGCTTACAATAGTTTCTCAGAATATAGGCTATTTATTTATCACAGAAAAGTATAAAAACAAAAATGACCTATATTCTCATCACCTCTGTAGTCCTTATTGCTACTAAAATAAATAAAAATCATCTATATGTCAACAAAATTTAAACGGTATGAAAAGGTACCAAAGGAAAAATAAAGTCCTTTTACCTCTGCTTTTCCCCAGTTTCTCCTCTTGATAGTAACCACTCTTATCCTTTTGTGTTTTTAATTGTTTTTTAACCTTCTGTTTTCTATACAAACACAGCAAATTTGCATACCATCTTGCATGTATTAATTTTTTTTAAAGAACAATTTTCATATGACATCAAGTGTCATTTAATACAGTTGATTTAACAGAACATGGCTTTCTAAAATGTGGTGGGTAAATTAGTTTTAGGCATTGAAAATGAACTTGTAAATAGACTCCTTTTTTGCTGCTGTAGGTAACTTTCCTTAATTTCTTACATGTAAGCTTGGATGTTTATGGTACATTTCTGGATTAAAGTATACCACTTCTGATTTAGTCGTTATTATTTTCCACTACAAACATTGGAAGTAATGGCATTGATTTGCTTAGTTTTAATGGTTAATGAACACTAGTAGGATTGTTACAAAATTGGCTTTGAGGGAACAGTACTAGTACTTGATTTATAAATTATCCATACTATGAAGTAGTTTATTATGTATTGAAATACATTATTTAGCCTGTAGTAGAAATGAATTTGGAAGTGAGCTCTGTCATAATCCTGTTGTGTCTTGAAGGTCATTGTTCAGTTCCAGCCTTCATCAGTGCCAGACGAATGGGGAACCACACAAGATGGACAGACAAGGCCCAGGGTTGTGAAACGTGGCATCGATGATAACCTTGATGAAATTCCTGATGGTGTGTATCATTTGTTTAGGACCAAGTTCATTTCTAGACTTCTTTAGTATAACATCATTCTTTAGAATGATGAGAAAAAGAAACAGTTGGTAGGATTACCTGCCAAAACATGCAGTAATTAGCCCAGTTTGCATATATCTTTAAAAAAATTTTATTACTTTTTTATCTGTTTATTTTTAAATTTAGAATTCTGTGAAGATATACAAACCATGTAATATAGATTCTAAAATATGTATTGTAAAGAAACACTGCTGGTTGAAACTAGGCTTTTGGTAGTGTTTTGGGGCTTGTTTTGTCATGTCTCAGCTAGTTTGTGTAACGCTAGTGCAGGAGTGGCAAACTTTTTCTTAAAGGCCAAATAGTAAATATTTTGGGCTTTGTGGGCTGTATGGACTCTGTTGCATCTACTCAACTCTGCCCTTGTGGTGTGAAAGCATTTATAGAAGGTGTGTAAATGAACGGGCATAGCTCTGTTTCAATAAAACTATAAAAACAGGCAGTGAGCAGGATTTGGCCTATGAGCCATGGTCTGCTAGCCCCTGCTCCAGTGTCCGTGCTTTGCTTTCTCCTGTTACAACACTTAAAGTAAGTATTTCATTTTGACAATTACATACTTCATATTTGTTTCATTGTGTTATGAAATTACAAAATTAATGGGGTCATATTATGAATCTGAACGAAATAACCAGAGTAAAATAGTAGATTTCACTTGGAGATATTCCTGTACATGGTATATGTGAATCTTGCAAGTCAAAGAGAAGGATTTGGGGGAAAGATTTTGACGTTGTATGTTGGCAAATTGCTTCTCCATGTGAGGGTTAGTGCCCTGGGGAGTTCTGAAGAAGTCACAAGGTTACGGAGCCTCTTTAGGCACCAGACTGCCAGACCTCATGTCCTGATAGCCTCTGAGATCAGAAACGGCCTGCTTCCTCCACTCCTCGGTCCAGTTCACTGTTAACGTGCCAAGACTGACTTTGAGCTTTGTTCCTCTATTCCGGTAGAGGGTAGTGAGGCTTATTAGGTTGGAAGGGTCATGACTTTCTTTGGCAAGTTTGGGATAACAAAAGGGATATCTAGAATATTGCTGTTTAATCAGGAAAACCCAAACACATTTCCAGCTTGTGTATGTGTGTGTGTTTCTTTTGTAGGGGAAATGCCTCAGGTTGACCATTTGGTGTTCATGGTGCATGGCATTGGACCTGTGTGTGACTTGCGCTTTAGAAGCATCATTGAGTGTGGTAAGTGTTAGTCATTTTATTTCATGGAATGATTTGAGAACTAATAGAAGGATTTTTACATGTGCATTTTTAAGATAGTTTCCAGCTGTATACTACTGGCTGAGGGACTGTAAGAAGAAATTGAAATGATTACTGGGAATTAATGATTTCTACTCGATTTGTTCTTACAACATATAGAGAATGCATAAAATTTTAGACTGTGAAGAATTAGATGGGATCTTGGAAATCATTTAGCCTTTCTGACAGCCTCTGCCGGAGCACCTCCAGCAACTAGGAGCACCTGTATATTGAACTGATATGCAGTGAAATAGTTGTGCGAAGTTGTTTAATGGAAGTATGAACCTGCCCGGTTTATGTGAATTTTTGAAGTTTTATTTTTGTGTCTGTATAATAGTTTGTACATATTGAATACTTGGTATGTGCCAAGTATCTTGCATGTACTGTGTCATTTAACCCTCACAACAAAGCTGTGGGGGGTGGGTGCTGCCACTGTCATCTCCACTATCAGGTGAGGAACCAAGGACCAGAGGGTCAGGTTAACCTCCCATATCAGGGTCTGTAGGAGCAGGTTGTTTGAGTCCAGAGTCTGTACCCACAGTGGTAGTTAGACTAATGGTTTTCAGTCATTTATGCGTTCCTCTAAAATGATGAAAAGTTTAAAAGAACTTGCTAAATGTTATGTTTATTATTTTGGGGCTAAATCCTTACTTTTTTTTTCTTGAAAAATTTGTGTTAGAAAGAATACTGGCATAGTTGAGGTAATTGCTAACTACCTGTCAAGCTAGGGAAATTTAATTCAATTTGTCATTTTCCCTGATTTTTTTTTTTTTAAGTGGATGATTTTAGGGTGGTTTCTCTCAAATTGCTGCAGACACATTTCAAGAAATCTTTAGATGGTCAGAAAATAAGCAGAGTGGAGTTCCTTCCAGTTCATTGGCACAGTTCCTTGGGTGGGGATGCCACAGGTGTTGACAGGTTTGTGAATTTTCATAACTTGTTTTTTGGATTACCCAAACTTAGAATCAAAATTTAAACCATAATGTGAAGTAGCTTATTATGACTTCAACAAATGTATTTAAAAAATTTTTTAAAAATATTTTGATTATAGTTGACATGTAATATTATGTTAGTTTCAGGTATATAAATAATGAGTAGATATTTATATAACTTACAAAGTGATCACCCTAATAAGTCTAGTACCCACCTGCCACCATACATTGTTATTACAATATTATTGACAATATTTCCTATGCTGAACTTTACATCCCTGTTACTTTTTGTAACTGGCAATCTGTACATCTTAATCCCTCCCCCTTTTTCACCCATTCCCTCAAATCCCCTCACATCTGGCAACCATCAAAATGTTCTCTGAATCTATGTTTCTGTTTGTTCATTTATTTTGTTTTATTTTTTAGATTCCACATATTAGTGAGATTATATGGTATTTGTCTCTCTCTGACTTACTTCACTTAGCATAATACTGTCTAGGTCCATCCATGTTGTCGCAAATGACAAGATTTCATTCCTTTTTATGGCCAAGTAATATCCCATTGTATATCTGTACAACCTCTTTTCTTTATCCATTCATCTATCAATGGAAATTTAGGTTGCTTTCATATCTTGGCCATTGAACATATGTATTTTTTAATTTTATACTTGCTCTGACATGATTAAATACTGGCTGTTAAGTTTATATGCTGCTTTTCTGTGTGTGTGTGTGTGTGTGTGTGTGTGTGCATGTGCATACACATATGTATGTATATATTCCTATTGTAAATATTTAAGAGAATCTAGGGAATTTAAGCTGGTTTTAAAATATTAGTCTATAGTGGCTTAGATAGGGGCTGTCCTGTACATTGTAGGGTATTTAGCAGCATCCCTGGCCTCTACCCACTAGGTCACAGTAGCACGGTCCTCCTAAAAATGTGAAAACCAAAAATGTCTCTAGTCATTGCCAGATGTCCCCAGGGCATAAAATCGTCCCTTTGCTGAGAGCCACTGACTTAGATGAGTGTTTCTCAGGGGAGACTGTTGACAGGACAATTCTTTGTCATGTCTGACTATTGCGCATGTATTATCAGCCATTTTAGTATCCTTGGTCTAGATTCCACTAAATGCCCACAGCACTCACCAGGCACTGGGACAACTGAAAATGCCCCCACTCGATTTGAGTGCTCCCCATTGAGAACCACAGATTTAGGTAATTTTTTGTTGTGAAGTTTAGGTAATATTTATGCTGGGACACAGGGCTAATAACATATCTGAATTTTGGTGAACGTCACAATGTTTCAGGGCACATGGTTTAATAAAGCTAACCTTACAAACAGCGTTCTGTCCAGGCAGGGCTGGGTATGAGGGGGCTTTCCTTCTCTGTGAGTGTTCATGGGCTTTGCTGTGGCCATTCTTACACCAGGGAAGATTTTTATTCCATGAAGCTCCTGTCTTTCTCTTGCTACATTCTCTGTTGTCCTTCCTACCCACAATTTTTGTCAGGTATTTTGATTTCCAATAATTTGGAAGAAAAAATGGAAGAGTAGGCTTTCATCTTTAACCATTAAAATATCTTTTTATTGGCCTTATTTTAGATGATGACTCTTCAGAGAACCCCAAAATTCATAGTACAGTTATAGGAACAAAGAGCAACTTTTTTGCTTTATTGTGATTTATAACTGTCTGCAAAGTCAACTCATAATTAGTCTGTGGGAGTTTTTTACTCAGTGCATTTTCAGCATTCAAAAATCTAAACTTTTAAAAATCCATAGAGTTAGGGTGGCTACTGACTGAATATACTTTTTTTTTCCCTTTCTAAACAGGAATATTAAGAAAATCACTTTACCAAGTATTGGTCGGTTTCGTCACTTTACCAATGAAACCTTGCTAGATATTTTATTTTACAACAGCCCCACCTACTGTCAGACCATTGTGGAAAAAGTGGGAATGGAGATAAACCGCCTGCACGCACTCTTCATGAGTCGGAACCCGGACTTCAAAGGAGGGATCTCTGTTGCTGGTCACAGCTTAGGTAAAACTGTCAAATATCCACATTTTAAACACAGTTTTTGTTGAGTCATCACTGCTTTCAGTGTGGGTGACATCGTCGATGTAAGCTTGAGAGTTACAGATTTTAAGTTTTATAAAGGGTGGAAATGAAAACTTTGAGTTTAGGGTGAGCCTTTGCTATTCACCTTTCGTGTTACCTAGGAATGCTTTACATTTTCGTTTATTCTGCTATTTGGTAAAACAAGGATCTTGATTATCAGATCTTGATTAACACCTAGCTTTTGTATGACTTCTGCCCAGGGACTTTGAAAACAAGGGAGGAGAGTGTATTTAGTGTTAGAAAAAGCACCTTGTACATTATAAAGCAAAATGCTTCTTTTTTTTTTAGGTTCTTTAATATTGTTTGACATCCTGTCCAATCAGAAAGATTTGACTTTATCAAAGCCTCTTGGGCCTTTTGCTGTTGCTAATGGGGTTGTGAAGCAGCCACAGTTTCAGGAAAAGCAGGTATGGCCCAGTGAACGTTTAGATGTGGAGTTGGAGCTGAACAGCTTTCCAGCATCTGAACTGTTTCTGTATGTCAAATACACTGAGGTTTCCATGTGCAGTGGAGGCATATAGCTTGTTGTTATTGTAGGGAATGGGAGCATGAGTGATATATTAAATTTATATGCTTTTTCAGAATGTGTAAAACTTGGGATGACAAATTACCAAAAATTATGATTTGTGTATAGAACAGTGGTTTATGATTTTCTGTAGATGTTTTATGGGAGATAGTTTCTGAGTTTTGTAATGTTCCCCCAATTGTTTTTTAAAGATGCCTGAAGAGCCAAAGCTGACATTGGATGAGTCTTGTGACCTTGATGTTGAAAATGAAGAAGTCCTAACTTTGCAAGAAACTCTGGAAGCACTTAGCCTCTCTGAATATGTTAGCACCTTTGAAAAGGAAAAGATTGATATGGAATCTCTGGTACTGATGATAGTTTGATTTATTTTTGTTTAAAATTGTTTTTTTCTGTATATAAAGTGAAAATTAAGAATGATTTAAATACTCTTACATCATAATACATTCCAGATAAACCAGAGACCTAAATGTTTAAAAAGTTGAAAAACACAGGAGAATTTTTTTTTCTTTTTTTAAATATAACCTGGGAAGGTTTTTCTAAGTGTAACATAAAACCCAGAGGCCATAAAAAAAAAAAATTTGTGTAACAGGAGACGCCATAAACAACATCTAAAGGCCAATAATAGATTAAGAAGAATATTTGGAACACACATTATAGACAGAGGACTTATTTCCTGAGTAGTCAAAGCTTCTACCAATTAATTACACAAAGACCATCAACACAATAAGAAAATAGGAAAAGAATAAGAACAAATGACATACAGAAAATAACAAACGGCCTCTTACATGAAAATTTGTAAGAGAAATGCAAATTAAAAGTGCAGTGAGTTTTTTTTTTCCATCTATCAATTTGGCAAAAATAAAGAGTGTGATAATATGTGGCCAGGATTGAGGGGAAATAGGCACTGTTACATATTGTTGGTAAGAGTGTGAATTGGTAAAACCTGCCTGGAGGGTAGTTTGGAAATACCTTTTAAAATATAAAAAATACATACCTTTTGTCCCAGTGTATTCACTGCCAGGAATATTTTCTGTAGAGAAATATTTACATGATAATATGTAGAAGGTCCCTCTCTGCAGCATTGTTTGTAGTAGTAAAAACCTTAGAGAACGCCTTTTGTGTCCACTAGTATGGCACTAGTGATGTCATTTACAGCGCATCCGCATGGTGGAGCTGTTGAGTGAATAAAGCAATGCCAGAGGTACCTGTGTGAAAGGATCTCTTAGCTATATTATGTGAAAAGACCAACAGTTCAGTCCTGTCTGCATAGGACACACACACACACACACACACACACACACACACACACACACAGAGAGAGAGAGAGAGAGAGAGAGAGAGAGAGAGAGAGAGAGAGAAAGAGAAACATACATGTAGATGCTGTGTGCGTAAGAGATCTCTCTGGAAGGAGAGTACATTGCCAGTAGTTGTTGCTGAGAGAACTAGGTGCTTGGGACAGGAGTGGAAGGGAGAGACTTCATTATATGGTTGACTGTAGCTTTTGAATTTTGTACAGCGTGCATGTGTTTTCTGTTAAAAAGTTAATAGAATGATTTGGATGTAGAGACCTAAGATTTTATAGCCTAAATTAATCCATGATTTAAAAACAAAAAAATGAACCTCTAAGATAATTGACTGGATCTTAGAGTGCTTTAGATGATATGTTTTCGCTCTGTAATTTCTTTATTTCAATTTCAGTTCATCTCTCACATGCCTGATTAGTTAATGTGCTTGTTTGTTTTCTTTTAAAGCTTATGTGTACTATTGATGACCTGAAGGAAATGGGGATACCCCTGGGACCCAGAAAGAAGATAGCGAACTTTGTCAAACATAAAGCAGCCAAACTGGTGAGGATCATCCCTGCCCCTAAAAGAAAACAAAACTCACCTCTGATGAGCCCGCTTACGTTTGGGAAGTTTGTATTAATATCTTCGTGGCGAGGCCAGCTGTGTACCCCCTACCCTAGGACACGTTAATGGAGTTGATGGAAGCCCAGACTTTGGAGTCAGCCAGAACTGGGTTTAAATTCCAGTTAGGGCAATGGAACATCTCAGGACTGACAGATTCTGGGATGAAGGACTTCCAGTTTTAAAATGAGAATTTCCCAGTGCAAAAACTAGGCATGTCCTGGACACATAGATGACTTGATCACCCCAATTCCCAGTTTACTCACTTATTAACTACATATTTGTGAGCAGTTGGCTTAACTTCTCTGATCCTTGGTTTCTTTCATTTCTGAAATGGGAATGCCAGTGCTTTCCTTATAGTATGAGAGTGAGTATACGGTAATGCACGTGAAGATTAGCACGCAGTAACTGTGAGCTCATGTTCTCTCTTCCGAATCCTTCTCACCTTCTAGAGATAGGAACACACACACACACACACACACACACACACACACACACACACACACACACATCTCATTGCATAAGAACCAAAAGGCAAAACTTCTTTTTCTTTAAAGATTTTATTGGGGAATTGGGGAAGGGAAACAGCCAAGTTGTTGTCCTTCAATCTTAGTTGTGGAGGGCATAGTTAGCTCAGCTCCAAGTCCAGTCGCCATCCGGCTGCCTGTGAGCATCTCATGGCTTCTCAGGTCAAGGTGCCGTGTTCAATCTTAGTTCGAACCGGCAACCTTGTTAGGAGCATGTACTCTCACTAGCTGAGCCATCCTGCCACCTGTTGGCAGCTCAGCTCAGGCGCAGTTCACTGGCCCATGTGGGAATTGAATCTGCGACGATGTTGCTTAGAGTTCATGCTCTTAACCAACTGAGCCACTCGACCAGCTTCGTGAATGGATTTTATCTCATTATTACAGAGACATCCCTGTTCCATAGATGCTCTCAAAGCTTTTGTTGACTTCATTATTTGTGAAATGCATAGATCTTAAGTGTTTGGGGTCATAAGTTTTGACAATTTCTGTACCTGTGTAATCACCGAAAACCAGCAAGAGAACATTTCTGTCCCTGAGCTGCTTTCTAGGGAACCTCTCCCCTCATGCAGCCACTCTTCTGATTTCTATCACTGTTAAAACTTTTGCCTGTTGTAGAAGCTCATATAGATGGAAGAACATTGTGTACTCTTGTGTCTGGCTTCTTTTACTCAAAGTAATTTTTTTGAGATGCACCAAATTGTGGCATCATTTGCATTTCTTTCCTTTTTAATCCTGAGTAGTAATTTCATTGTATGAATATACCATAATGTGCTTATTTGTTTTTTCCAAAATGCTTTTGAGGAAAACTTGTCAGTGGCTCCATGCAGACAGACATAATGGGTGTCAGCATGTTGAATGAAGAACTTTCTCCTAAGTTACACATCTTTATAGGAAGTGTGTATTTTAAAATTATATAGTACTTCTAAACTATCTGTTTAAAGTTGACACTATAAAGGAAGAAATTGGCATTTTTAAACTTTATTATTAAATTTTTAATTATATAGAAAAGTAGTGCAGACAGTATAATGATAGCCAATATTTAGACTTAATTGTAGCTGTTTTGCGGCATTTTTCATTGCTGCTTAATTTTTTTAATCTTAAGAATTTAAGGTAAATTATAGACATCATGCAATTTCTTCCCTAAATATTTAGTGTGTGTCTCCAAAAAGGACATTTTTCTAGTAACCACAATGCCATTATTGTGCCTACAAAATTATTAAGCATTCCTTAATAGTGAGATAGCATGTTTCATCGTGATAGCTGATAACAACTTTTCCATCAGGTTATGTTATGAAATTTTGGTATTTTATAGGAACAAAAAAAAGCAGCATCAGAAAAGAAGGCGATGGCTGCTTCGACGAAAGGACAAGAGGAAGGTGCTCAGAAAGCCAAAGAAATGGCTTCTCTCCCCTCGGAATCGAATGAGTCCAAGAGGAAACTTCCAGTTGGTGCTTACGTTTCTTCTGTGCACGTGGATTATGAGTCTTTTGAAGTTGGCACCGGGCAGGTAAGTTTACACAGTGACTAGGGCTGCATATTTTATCTTGGAGTCACATATCTTATTATTTGAGTTGGCTTTAAATTCTTTAAATATTTATTCAGCATTTATGGGGGGGTGGAGAAACCGATTTTAATAAAAAATGTGTGCTTTACGTATCACCTGACTTTAGAAATTGCCTTTATTTCAGTTTTCCACCACTCATAATTTTGTAACATTAGTCTCTCATAGCCACTAGCAGCAGAAGTGGTGATAGTTAGAAAATTATGTTCAGAATATACTTAAGTTTCTATGAAAGAAACTTGCTGCATTCAGTCAACTGTTGTGTTTTTAGTATTTACAGTTCTTCCCTTGGGGAAAATTTCTATAAAAATCAAGCAAGTAGTTGATAATGCTACATTTAATAATATAGCTTAATACTTGTATTGTTTAGAAGTATTAAAAACCCTTTTAGACGGTGTCACTTTCAGTACATTTATAGTTATGTATATAAGGTTCTGTGATTACAAAGTGAGTTCATGACTGATTTGAATAAGGCAGATAATGGAACTGGATGTTTACTCTAGCTTGTTTGAGCTTTTAAGCCCAATTCATTCATAAAGATTGCATTTACAGTTTTTTTAAGCATGAGCAAATTTGAATAGACTCTAGCAAATAAAGGGCAGCTATTTCTTCACCTAACTGTGAAGGATGAGGATGTAGGAGGAGGTTGGTGGAACCAGGGGCTCCGTGCCAGTAGGACACGTTCTCTCCCTGTGTGCCCTTGTCTGTGAGTTGGCCTTCTCCGTGAAACTGGAATCATGGAGGGTTGGTGGCCTTGGCACATCTTACAGCTGTATGACCTCAGAGGAAAAGGAATCTACCTTGCTAGTAGGTCCAGTATGGAAAAGTTGAAGGAGAGATCTTACTTGACTTGGTCTGAGTCATGCATTTATTTGGGACCACTTCTGTTGCCTGGGGCACAGCTTGACTGACCCAGCCCAGATCACAGGCCACCTCCATGGTGGGTGGGCCCAGGTGGGCAGGCAGGATCTGTTGCCCAAAGGGTCCTTCGGCCTCATTCATTGCCAGAAAGCCAAGAAATACTGATTAAGCCAAAGGAGATTAAAAAATAATCTCATTGTTTCTTTAACCAGAACTATCATTAGCTGTTTGAACTGGCTTTCTAGACTTTTCTTTAAGCATATATTTACATGTGTATTTTAACAAAAACGGGGAATACTACAGAGAATGTTTTACTAAACGATTATACTGCTGTTTTTCAAACAGCATATTATGTATATTATGAATATATTCCCATGTCAATAAATATTTCTCTGTAGCTTCATTTTTAATGACTGCTGTATTTCACTGTTTCAAAAGATGATGATTTTTTTCTGTCATTTATTTATTAGATAATTAGTTTCCTAGGAATGCCATGACAAAGTACCACACACTGAGTGGCTTAAAACAACAGAAATTTATTGTCAACAGAAACTGTCTCACAATTCTGGAAGCTGGAAGTCCAAGACTGAGATGCCATCAGGGCCATGCTCCCTCTGTAACCTTCCTTACCTCTTTCTAGCTTCTGGTGGGGGCCACCTGTTCCTTGGCTTATAGATGCATTGCTCCAGGCCTCCATTTTCAGATGGTGTCCTTCCTTGTATCTCTTGGTGCATGTCTGTCTTTGTCCAAATTTCCCCTTTTTATAATACCACCAGTCACCTTGGATTAGGGCTTACCCCTGAGACCTTATTTGTTTTTTTAAGAAAGGACACCCACCCCTGACAAACAATCAGGGATCCTAGAGGATCACAGAGTCTTCTTTGTTTTTTTTTCTTCTTCAAACTTTATTGGGAAACAGTGTGTTTTTTCCAGGACCCATCAGCTCAAAGTCAAGTTGTTGTCCTTGAATCTTAGTTGTGGAGAGCGCAGCTCACTGGCCCATGTTGGAATCGAACCGGCAACCCTGTTGCTCAGAGCACGTGCTCTAACCAACTGAGCCACCAGCCGTCCCTCTAAGACCTTATTTTAACTTGATTACTGCTGTAAAGACATAAGGTCTCAGGTACTGATACATATCTTTTTTTGGGGGACACATTTCAATCTATAACATTGGACATGTAGGATTTTTTCAGTGTTTTAGTCTTCTAAGTGGTCCAGTGATTAACAGTTTTAAACCAATTTTCTGTGCATATACTTTCTTTCGGTTAAATGAATAGAAGTAGGTTGGCTGGGCCAAAGGATGTGCACATGAAAGTGTTACTAGTTGTTGCTACCTGCTGCTTAAAAGCTTGTGTCAGTTTGTACTCCCACTGGCAATTTATAAGACTGCCCCTGTCCCCTCTCCCCCACTAGTACAGGTGGCCCCCAGTTTACAAAGGTTCGATTTAGGATGTTTTGACTTTATGGTGGTGCAAAAGTGGCGTGCATTCAGTAGAAACCATATGTCGAATTTAGAATTTTGATCTTTTCCTGTGTTAGTGATATGTGGTTTGATACTCCTGTGACGCTGGGCAGCTCCCGGTCAGCCCGGTGAGGGTACACAGCCGATACTCTGCAGAGTACTTTGTGGTCAGCGGTTTTTGATACTGCTTTGTGTTTTTGTATAAATTACATGAGAAATTCAACACTTTATTATAAAATAGGCTTTGTGTTAGGTGATTGCCCGACTGTAGGTTAATGTCAGTGTTCTGAGCACGTTTAAGGTAGGCGAGGCTAAGCCTTGATGTTCAGTATTAAATACATTTTCAGTTTATGATGAGTGTACTGGGACTGAACCCCATCATAAGTGAAGGAGCATCTGTACTGGTATTTTCATTCTTTAAAAACATGTGGTCTACTTACTTGTTTAACTTTCTTCTAATGAAATTATTTTTTTACGTGAGAATAGATGTTTACTTTCTTTTTAGTATTTCATTTATATCCCTGATAACCTGATAGGGAAAAGGGTATCTCACTGTATTTGCTTGAGCACTAGAGAGGTTAGATAATACCTCATCTATTTTAGACATTTTCCTTTTGTGATGTGCTGGTTTTACTCATTTCTCTATTGTGCTTCTCTTTCTTTACTGACATTTAAGAATTCTTTTTACTTGAAGGATATTAGCTCTTTGTCATATACGTTGTAAATGTGTTTTCCAGTTTGTGGTTTTTCTTTTAACTTTGTTTTTTCTCCCTTTATTTTTCTGAAGCTGGGCGAGAGAGCATTATCTCGAGAGCACCTCCTGTGTGGTCCTCGTTAGACGCAGAAACTGTGCAGATAGAAGGGCCAGCCCAGGGACGTGAAGCTTAGACTGGGTTAGGAGGGGCAGCCTAGCGTAGTAGAAAGAGCGTTGGACTTGGAGTTAGAAGTCCTCATTCTGCCACTCACTGGCTGTGTGCTCGCGGGTAAGTGCCGTCAGCTGTCTGAGCTTCCCTGTCTTCATCTGAGAAATGGGCGTGAGGATTCTTGCCAGACCTGCCTCTTGCCGTGGACTGCTGTTGAGCCCTGGGACTGTGCCACTCATTGTTCTTCACTCAGGAAACTACAGTGACGATGGCACATATCCTGCCCCTGAGCAACAAACGAAATTGCTTTGTGAACTGCGGAGCTCCGTACAGTGTGGCCGCTTTCTCTTTCTCTTACTCCAGGCAGTTCTCAGTGAACGGAGAGGCTGCAGGCACACTACCGACGGCTCTGTGGGGACAGATAGTTTTCCAATGGAAAGACACTTGCCTTCCCAAGTAGTTATGATAGAAGTAGGGTTGTTGAATGCTTAACACATTCAACTGTGCCAGGCTCTGTGCTAAGCACTTGATGTGCATTAGGTTATTTATTCAACCACATTGTGAGTTGGGCATTGTGATGATTCCCATTTATGGATGAGGAGACTGAGGCTGAGGGAAGAGAGGTTAAGAAACTCGCTCAAGGTCACATAATAAGGAGTGGAGCCGGGATCCAAGCCCAGGCAGTTTAATTCTACAGTCTGCAGTTTTAACTGCCTTTATAACTAATATAATACTATATGCTGTATATATTATGCTGTGCGATAAGTGAAAGTGTAACCAGAGGATGTGATAGTTTATAAAGATTTTACAGAGTAATTTTTTCATCCTTTTAAGCTTGTAACAGCTGTCCACAACAGTGATTTTTAAGTACCGTAAGCCGTACCTCGAGGGGCAGCTCTGTGAGGGACGCTTTCAATTTGTGCAGGTCCAGGAACTTCGAAGCTTTTAAATTTTGTATTATGGGACATTGGAATGATCATCTTTTATTGTTTTTTTGGTTCTTTCTAGGTTTCTGTTGTTTACAACTCACTAGACTTTGAACCAGAGATTTTCTTTGCCTTGGGATCTCCCATTGGCATGTTTCTCACTATTCGAGGAGTGGATCGGATAGATGAGAATTACAGGCTCCCCACCTGTAGAGGATTCTTCAATATTTACCATCCAGTGAGTAAATTGAATTGACTTCCTGTTGTGAAGATGAAAAACCTGTGCTCTTTGTCCTGATAGGTTCTCAGATTCTTATTTCTTAGGAATTAATACTGATCTGGATTTTGTACAACTCAGCTTTCTGTCCTATTAGATACAGTCCGATATGTCTCAACAAACTTTTCTACCAAAAAGCCTTTGTTCAAGGAAATAATTCTGTTGCTTTGCTTACAAAGAATTTTACCCACAAACTTGAAAGTCTTTTACAGTTATCAGTATTTGAATAGGTGTGAAAAAAAAATGTGGCTTGCCAGTTATTTGTTTTCTTACCCAACTAAGGTATGTAACTCAAAATAAAACATCTTTTTATAAATTTCCAATTCTTTTATTTACAGCTCGATCCAGTGGCCTATAGGTTAGAACCTATGATTGTTCCAGATTTGGACCTAAAAGCAGTTCTCATTCCACATCACAAGGGCAGAAAAAGACTTCATTTAGGTGAAAAGCAAATATTATACAAACTTGTTTCCTTCTTTCTTTTTTGTAATCTGTTATTTATAGTGAATTATATGTCCTTCCTGTCATTTGTAATGAGTTACAGAAATTTTAACACTAAATCCTTCTTTATAGAGTGAATGTTAATTTAAGTGCCTACTGTGTTCAGAGCTTGTTTACTAAATATTTGGAGGAGTTGTACAGGAAGTTCTGAGTTCCTTCTCCTTGATGACTTTCTCCTTGGTAACTTTATAATTGTTGAGATGATTAGGACTGTGGGGAAGATGGTAATAAAGTGACATGATGCATAGATTTTGATAGACTTTGGTTATGACTTTTGGAATTGAGAAGCAGAGTTAACATTTGAACTAATGACCAAACCATTAAGAAATAAATTTGATGCTGTCTAAGACAAGTGAGCTGTTATTTCCTTGCTAAATAGACAAACTTTTCCTATTTAAAAAAATCATTAAATATCTGGACCAATGCTAATTCCTTGTGGGGTTTAAGTTTCTTTTATGTCTGTTAATGGTGTATATTACTTACCCAAGGTTTAAAAGAAGGAAAAGTGATCATGCCTTATTTAAAAGTGTTTTTTCTTTCTTTCTTTTTTTTTTTTGCGTGCATTATGCTTTTTAAAAATATTTAACTCGAAGTTAAAATGAGAAATTTGTTACTCAAAGACCTTGATTTCAAATAGGATTTATTTGACAAAAGTAGAAAAGGTGGAGGGGCAGGCGTTTTTTTATTTTTAAACTTGAAGTTTAAATTATGGTTATATTACAATCTCACATTTTCAAAATCATTTCACTGTCACGGATTAGAAAAAGTAATCTTTTTCATTTTGGGAGTCCATTGTTTAACTTACAGTAAGAAAAAGCACATGAATGTGCTTACATTTTTATGGCATTTGAACTTTTTTTTTTGGAGACAGGAAATTACAGGTTTTCGCTAGATCAAGTTTAGTCACTATAAAAATGACAGGGATAAGACTTCTCAGAACATTTTAACATGTTGAAGGTTTTTGGTTGAGATACTCTCTATATATGATATTTAAGAGAGGACTGAGATTAGTGTTAGCTTTTGTTTTAATTTTTGTGGTGCAGAATCTTACCCAGTGACAATAACATGATGTGTTTTCTTACTCTCTTTAGAGTTGAAAGAAAGCCTCTCTCGCATGGGATCTGATTTGAAGCAGGGTTTTATTAGCTCTCTGAAAAGTGCTTGGCAGACGTTAAATGAGTTTGCCCGTGCTCATACGTCTTCAACTCAGTTGCAAGAAGAATTGGAGAAGGTAGCCAATCAAATCAAAGAAGAAGAAGAAAAGCAAGTAGTTGAAGGTAAATTTGAGGCATTTTCTAGTACAAATATTATGAACCATAACACTTAGGAATTATTTAATGGTGCGTTCCCATTCTAGTCTTTTTTGTTAAAATGTGGAGGCTCTTCCTGTAAAGGAAAATCTTTTATGATAAGCTAGTCTTCAAAATGCATGTCATCTTTTTTTACTAGGTTTCCGCCCGATAGTTGCTGAACTTTTTACTCTGCAAATTTTGTTGCGATTCCTAAGGTCAGAGTGGAATGTCAGAGTTGAGGACCGAGTTTGTGTTCAGGCACGTGAAGGACCCACTCTGAGAAATTACCTCCCTGCTGCTGCTGTTTAGCTGTGTTGCTGTAGACTTTACATGCAATGTCAGGTCATTGTGCCATGATTTTGACTTTTTCAGATTCTAATTCTATTTCCTTTCTTTCTATAATGCTATCTCACCCCTCTTCTTCAAAACTTCTGTCAGCTCGTTGGCGCTTCCTCCTCTCTCTGGGGTAACCAGCCCCTGTCCCCCTGGCTCTTTGGAGGAAGGGGAAGTGAGCCTGGTGGCTCCCCAGGTTGCCGCGGGTGTCGAGCAGTATTCTCATTGAGCCCAGAAAGTCAGCTAAAGTCAAAGGATAATGATTAAGTGACTGACTTTGATATTGAAATGGTTTAAATTCTAGCAGAAAAGATTGTTGAAAGTCCAGATTTTTCCAAGGATGAGGACTACTTAGGAAAGGTTGGAATGCTAAACGGAGGTCGCCGAATTGACTACGTTCTTCAAGAAAAGCCAATAGAGAGTTTTAATGAATATCTTTTCGCTCTTCAGAGTCATTTATGCTATTGGTAAGTATTTTCATCTCTGGTGTAACATTCATGTGGCCTCTAGGTACTAGCACTGGCAGCAGTTTTAGTTTTTGTGAGACTTCTTTTGCTGATTCATCATTTGTTGGGGAATATTTTGAAGGCCTGTGTATTCAAAAATCAATATTTTCCCCCGTTAGTTTCGTTACCCACAAGATGGCAGTATGTCATCTGCCTTTGACCAAAGGCCTTTCTTTGGTAGTTGCACGCTGTGTAAGGGTACCTTTCCTGGAATGGGAGTGTCAGGGACTTAGAAAAGCCATCCTTTCACATGTCCTCTCTCACTAAGGAGAATTGCACATGGTTATTTTGGAGCTGAGTGATATCCAGCCAATTTTTAAGGACGGCTTTGAGATGACACTACTTCATTTTCATTTGCCCTTCTTAGGTAGAGTTGAATAGAACAAAAGCTGCATTTTCCACCTTTGTGTATAGAGATTAGTTTCTGCTAATTGTCTCTTAAGTAAATGTGCTTTTTTAAAAATAGGGAATCTGAAGATACTGCCTTGTTATTACTCAAAGAAATTTATCGAACAATGAACGTTAGTCCAGAACAACCCCAGCATTGATGGGACTTCAGTTTCACTGCGTGAGTTTATCTTTATTGTGTGTATAAATTCTGAATGTTTCATTCTGAAGTCTTGTTTATGGAGGTGATGTTGACACTAATTTCTTCTGTTTTCCATTTCCTTTGAATTTTTTTTTCCCTTTATTTAAAAGTTCAGAATAGAGACAGTAAAGGAAGGGAATTAGTGTGCAACCCACATTTCTGACTTGTTACAGTCTTCTAATTCTACATAGAATTTGAATTCTTATAGTTTCAGTTTCTTTTAAAAGTAGATTTCCAGGAACATTAGCTAGGAATTTCTTTGGTTGTAAGAAACAGAACCCAAGTCACAATACCTTAAACAAATAGGAGGTTTATTTTTCTTACAAAACAGGAAGGGCTCTTTTGTGGAAAGATCCCACCAGATACCCAGATGGTTTGCATCTTTTCACCTGCATGTTGGCTCTGGCTGCCTCATAATTATAAGATGGCTCCCATAGTTTCAGACATCACATCTACATTCACTGCATGAATAAGGGTGAAAGGGCAGTATTGGTTATACCTGTCCCTTTTAATTAGGGAAGCGAAATAGTGTCCAAAGATTTACCTATGCCTGTTGACTAAGCCTGTGTAACCTGTCCCATGCTTGCCTGCAACCCCCAACTGCATGGAAGATTGTAAAAGTGATGTTTTAAGCATTGCTAATCTTTATAGAGGGAAGGGATAGAGAAGGGGATTAAACAGATGATGGTTGAGCCAGCCTACAAGTCAGCCACACACTATATTCCTGACTGTCCTCCTGAGACACCTGACACCTACCTGTGTTTCCTTACTAGATTGTATATCACTTTAAAAAATAGATAACAGTTTTTTTTTTTAAGTTGGAAATTTTAAAGCCTTTGAAAGAAGAAAACAGTGGTGAGCTTTAAATAGGTGAAATCAAAAGGAACTACAGGCACTTTTTGGTTTTCTAATAATAAATGATAAGTTCAGCCTCCATATTCCTATTTTGGAGAGGTAACTTTTAGTAAGATTTTCTTAGAGAAATACTCCTGTGCATATCAATCAAATACGTGTACGCTTTAAAACAAAGGAACCTCATTGAATATATTGTACTGTAACTTGATGTTTTCTATCAGCCATATTGCTTGCACAGCTTTCCATATTAACCTGTGTAAATCGTTTTCATTCTCTTTAATGGTTATATAGTAATCTATTGTGTGGCTATAGCCCATCTTGTTTAGCTAATTTCCTGTTAATGGACATTTAGATCATTTCCTAACATATATTAAAGGAGTCTTAGTCATCAATAGAATAGCCGTCAATAGAAAAATCATTTTATAATCAGACTCTTGATATAGTTTTATCAGTTCTTATTATTTCTGATATTACAGTATTAAAGTAAACTACAGGCAATGTCAAAAGCTACCACAGTCCAGATTTTCAGTTATAAAATAGTCATTCAATTAATTGACAGATATTGATTCGGTACCTACTACGTGCCAGGCACCAGTTTTCGTGCTGTGTTAAGTGGTAAACAAGATTGCATTTTTTTTTTTTTTTTTTTTTTTTTTTTTTTTTTTTT